TCCTACCGAGTTGGTCCATCATACTCTGCGCCAGGGTGGGAAGGGTGTGGGGGGAGGGGTCCCCGGGGGAAGAAGAAATGGGAGCGGTGATGTGCGGCCGTCGTTGCCCTGAAAGCCGACCAATCATGGAATGCGGGATTCACTCGAGTTATTGACCTTCAAAGCGCCGAATGTGAAGTGAAACTAGCCGCACGGTTGCTTGAGTCAGATGATACAAACCACCACCATGATGATCATGCGTACAGTATAACGACTGACTGACTGGTGCCTCGCACTGTAGCTTACAGCTATGGGGAGAAGGGGGAGGGTCCGGCCTCGGTGGCGCACGGCGCACCGTCCTGAATCCTGATACACATGGACGATGCCCAAAGCGGCCCGACCAATTGGACGGACGACACTCAAAAGCTCAGAAATCGAAGAAATTAAAGCGCCGGCGTGAAATCGCCGCACGTATACGACAGGCTCACTGCGCCTACATTCAAGCTTACAGTGGTGACAGTCACTCACTAGCGGACTTCCTCGCACCGCTGGCTTACAATTTACGATACCGCTGACTTGCAGTATGCGAAACCGTTAGCTTACAGCATACGATACCGTACTGTACAACTGTCCTTATTCGTACCGCTTTAATTACAGTGTTATATTTGTACAGAGGATACAAAACAAGTCAAGGTGTTATGAGTTTTACTAGACAGAGTGCGCGGAAGACTTTATAAAGAGAATGTGACTACAGAATGCGGAAAAAATGAAGAAAGCGAGAATATATAGGGCGAAAACTAGCTAGGCGAGAACCTCTAGATGTGCGTGGCTCGGAAATGTCGCGATTGGTGCGGGGCGACTCGGAATTGGTTCGGTGCGAAAGTGTAGGCCGAACCTGTTACGATACGAAGTTTTATGAGAAGGCATTCCTGTATGCTGCAGGAGCCGACTCTACCGAGTACGAAGTCGAGGAGTCAGAAGAATCGAAGCGACACAGCAACCGTCTGACCAAGGTCGATGCGGGAAGAAGCATTTGAAATGAAAAGAGCGGGAACAGGTTTTGAAACCGATTCCCGCGCCACACGGTTTGAATTTCGCTGCAATCAGGGCTGACGCTATCAGACTAAATAGTCTGATTAGTCTGACCAATCAGGCTATTGGGCTTGTGAACATTGTACTTCCAGTGAAATCAATATTTCATCCCTGAGAGCCTCAGTGTTACTGTTTTTAGGCCCCTGATATAGAGTAATAGGCATCAGACTTAGCCGTTGCTGGAGTCTGGCACTACATAGTATACAGTCTGTGGTCCCTGTATGCCGATCTATCGAGAGGAAGCTTCCTCGAAATTGCCGAAAATTACCCCCCCCCCCCCCCCCGCGTAATCATTTCCCCACCCCCCGTGGTTGTCTTCTTGTTCGCGTGGGCTGTAAACCACGTAATGCTGACAAAATATTTTGGTGCGCTGTGCACAGCAAGGCATCTAGGTGCGGCGTGGTGCGGCCAGCATGCCAAGTTCGATGATGACCCTGCAGCCACGCGCACCGCGCCACCCTCACGTAATGTGATGGGCGGAACGCGATTGGTGGCATGGCACAACAGCAATGTGTGGTGGCATGGTTGAGATGAATGTGGCCTAGAATCCAACGCCTGATTCAATCTTCAAACCCCACCACCAGGCTTCGTGAGCCCTTTCCGTGGCGGCGCGGCTTTCGTTCTGTCTGCTTCAGCCGGTCCTTTGGAGATGAAGGGGGTCTCCCACATTCACATCTTGTTTCCACACGCATTAGTTCTGTTCCAGCTTTTCCTCATGCCATGGCTTCCTTACCTCCTGCGGAGGACTCGCCTGAGACCGTCCCGGAGAAGCCTCCCGATCGTAGGGTTAGCGGCCTAGACTTCCTTCGACCTTGCTTAGTTCCAGTCACACCAGAGCCTCTTGTTACCGCTGCTGTTGTTAATAGCGACGCTGACCCATCGTCCAGCAAGGAGCCGGAACCGGAACCCAATCCCGCGCCTCCTCCAGCGCCGTTTTCTCTCCCTCCCGCCATCGCGTCGTCAAGCAAGGGACCGTCACCGCCGGCCAATCCCGCGCCTTCCCCAGCGCCCTTCACTCTCCCTCCCGCCATCGCTTCGTCCAGCAAGGGGCCGCAACCGCCGCCCAATCCCCCGTGTGCTCCAGCGCCGTTCATTCTCTCACCCGCCATCGCGTCGTCCAGTAAAGCGCCTCCCTCTGCAGTTGGTAGCAGCGGCTGCAACGATGTCGCTCCCGCGTCCGAGGGTCGTACTGTCAAGATGGTAGTTAGAATTAGGCGCCATAGCTAGGAGAACCCTAGCTAGGCAAGAGAAAGTTTAGGCAAAGAGGAGGTTCACTAGCAGCAATGAGGATACATATAGCAAACCCTAGATGGGTTGTACTCGCTATAGAGCACCCCACTACAGGCTAGAGAATAACATTCTGACACACCCCCATAGCCAAAGTGGGGTGTAATCAGTACAATGAGCAAGCAGGTAGAAAGCAGGTTCACAAGTGCAAGCAAAGCTAGAGGCATTCACAAAGGGCAAGTGAGGAGGAGGAACTGTGGAAGGAGAGAAGATGAGAGGCGACGGCTGAAGCTGCAGACACACGGGCAACAGGAGTCAAACTGGCACAGTGGCTACCGGAACAGCGCCCCGGACTACAGGAGTAACTGGCTCCGCGGCTAAGAAGAGCGGCAGACGAGCAACGGACCCACGGGCGACTGGCGCAGCTGGCTACGACTGGGCTACCGGAACAGCGCCCCGGACTACAGGTGCTGCTGACGACAAGACGGCAGCCTCCGCTCAACCTCCCCCGACCGTCCCACGCCCCTCTCACACACCCCCTGCTGACACCCTAGCTCCACTTCCACGGCACCCCCCTTAAACCCTAAACCTCGGCTCCCACACATCCACCCCCCTCAGCGGCAGCTGCAGCAGTGGGAGACGGAGGAGGAGGAGGAGCAGGGGACGGCGCACACACACGGCACCCCCAGAGCTGCCACCCCCACACTCCGCACCCCAAAACCCTAAAAACGGGCGGAACGGGGGAAGGAGCGCGGGGGACGGCGAGGGGGACGGCGCTCGGCCCCCAGAACGCGACCACGGGGCAGAGAGGGGCCGCGCGCGGCTCCCCAGGGCGGCGCGACGGGAAATCGGGGCCGCGGGGGGGTCGCGCGCGGCTCCCCAGGGCGGCACGACGGGAAATCGGGGCCGCGGGGGGTCGCGCGCGGCTCCCCAGGGCGGCACGACGGGAAATCGGGGCCGCGGGGGGTCGCGCGCGGCTCCCCAGGGCGGCACGACGGGAAATCGGGGCCGCGGGGGGTCGCGCGCGGCTCCCCAGGGCGGCACGACGGGAAAACGGGGCCGCGGGGGGTCGCGTGCGGCTCCCCAGGGCGACGGGATCGCGGGGCCGCGGGCGACGGGACCGGAGGGCCGCGGGCGACGGGATCGGGGGGCCGCGGGCGTCCCCCACGGTAGGAAACCGCCGTGCGCCTCGGTGCGCACGGCGGGGAGAAAACCGCCGCACGCCCCGAGCGCGCGGCGGGATGAAAATGTGAAGGTCGCGCGCCACGGGGCGCGCGACACTGAGTAGGGCAGCGGAAGCAGCAGTGGGGCCCACAGGCCAGGAGCGTGAACGCTCTGATACCATGTCGTAATAGTAGGTATACTGAGGAGCCATAGCTAGGGTTGACCTAGCTAGGCAAGAGAGAATGAAGGCAAAAGAGGAGGTTCACTAGCAGCAATGAGGATACATATAGCAAACCCTAGATGGGTTGTACTCGCTATAGAGCACCCCACTACAGGCTAGAGAATAACATTCTGACACGTACGGCTAAGAAGGCGCGCACGGTTTTACTCCGAGGCAAGCTACAGTAGAGCACGTTGACATTCGGCGGTGTGCGCGTGCCACCCCCGAGTGCACCCGAGGAGGGGGAGACCGAACCTGAGGAACCAGAGGACATACCTGTACGTGCAGACACCAACTCACCCGTTCTGTCCAAGGCTGAGTTGATGGAGCAGAAGTACATTGAGGCAAGTGTCAAGTACAACACGCAGTGGTTGCCCAAATTCCCGTGGCTGCTCTTGCTTCGCGCTAAAGATGGTGGTCCTAGTGTTAAGTGCAGCGTGCGTGTCTCATTCGGCAAGGAGACAACCAAGTACTCAGGTCCTGGGGACGGCGGTCGAGACCTGCAGACGCAGACGATGCGCATCCACGAACACACAACGGTCCACAAGGAGGCGATGCAGCGTCAGGCGGAGATTGCGGAGGCGATTTCGAACGGCCAGGCGAAAATCGATCAGTTCATCAACGCGGACGTGGAGGGTCGGCGTGCGATTCGGCTGATGCGGTCGGTGCAGTTTCTTTGCCAGGAGGACGCGCCCATCAGCATGTTCCCGAAGCTGATGAGGCATCTCGCAGAGCAGGACACCCCCGACATCCCGAAGCAAGCTTACGGGGTGTACCTCACGCGGTAGGGCATGTATGTTTTCTGTTTTGTGTTTTATGTCATGCCTCCCACCTACGACTAATGTCCTTGTTCGTTATACCCTCTGCAGATACGGTTTCCAGCAGATGGTGCACTGCCTCAGCACCTGGTTGACTCAGCAGCAGATGCAGCACATCGCCTCTTCGCCCTTCCTCGGTTTGAGCACAGACGAGAGCACGGACCGGACTCGCGGGAAGCACATGATAGTCTACATCATGTTCCTGCACCACCGTCGTGTCGTGACTGAATATCTGACCCTTCTCACTGTCGAGCGGTGTGATGCAGCTTCTCTCCTGTCGGTGCTCCTGAACCACTTGCACACTGCCAACATCGACCTCAACCGAGTGGTGGGAATCAGCACCGACGGCGCGTCGGTAATGATTGGATGCGACAATGGGCTCGTGACAAGGCTGCGGGAACATGTGCCGCATCTGGTGTCCACGCACTGCATCGCCCACAGGTGATACAACCCATTATGGCTCCACCATGTACTGTTTCTATAGGGGGAACACAAAGCACATGCAGCCATCTTACTCTGTGTATCTGAACTGCAGGGATGCATTGGCGGTGAAGGACGCGGCAGCGTCAAATCCGGACCTGGCGATGGTGGACACCGTGGTGCGCACGCTTGCTGAACGCCTGGGCGCCTCCAGCCACTGGAGCCAGCGGTTCAAGTACCTGCAGCGCGTCATTTATAACACGAACCTCGAGGTCCAGGGAATCCACAGCGTGCGCTGGCTGTCCCGGGGCGACGCGGTGAAGCGACTGTACAAGGTGCTGGGCGCTGCGATAATTCTCTTCCACGAGAAGGAGCACGACTTGTACGAGACAGTGACATCGTACAAGTTCCAGTTCTGCCTCTTTTTCCTCGCAGACATCCTCGGCAACCTTAACGATCTGAACTGGTCGTTTCAGAAGCGGCAGGTGAGGCAGCGTTGTATGTATGGCCATGATTTTCCACAAAATCCTACACTATAATTCTGCTGTTACTGTTGCAGGTCGATGTTACCGAGGTGGCAAAGACCGTCGAGTCCATCACGGGCGACCTCGAGCACAGGTACCTTGACAAGACGGCGGACTTCGGTGGGTCTGGCAACGCTTGGCTCCCGAAATTCCTGCAGCTGTATGGGAAGAAGTCGGGCCAGACGGTCAAAGTGCGGGGCGCGGATTCGGAGGCCCGCCCGGTCAACCACTCGTACATCCTGCGCGAGAGGAAGCTGAAGGACCACAAGTACAAGAGCGGCTACAAGGCGTGCGTGAAGCTGTGCCGCAAGTTCGCAAAGGACGTCGTCGACCGTCTCCTGTTTCGCCTGGACGACCTGCGAGAGATGGGTCCAACTAAGCTATTTCGCGCGTCAAAGTGGCCGAAAAGCAAGCACGCGCGAGACCGCAAGTGCCAGGACTGGCTGACAGGCTGCAGCGCCCTGTTCAAGAACAAGCTCCCTGGGTTTGATCTCAAGAAAGCCTCGCAGGAGCTGGCGACCTGGTGCCCAATCATGGAGGCGCACCACGAGGGTGAGTCATTTGCGCAGGGACTGGCGAACTTCATGGGGAGCGGCGATGCCAACAGGTAGGTCGACCGAGTGTGCCTTTGCCACAAGTTTTTTTTGCAAACTAACGCACCTGCAAAACTGCTGCTCCTCGTCTTTGCAGGCGATGGCCCAACCTGCTGCTGCTTTGGCAGGCTCTCGCAGTCCTGCCACTATCTACAGTGGAGTGCGAGCGGGGGTTCTCGCGCCAGAACGTGATCAAGTCGTGGATCCGCGGGTCACTCTGCAACGCGCGGCTCGGGGAGCTGATGCAGATCTCACTGCTGCAGTACGAGATGGACTGGCCTGGGGTGCTCGACACCTGGAAGAGCCTCAAGAAGAGGCGTCCCGCGCAGAGCGTCTTGTTCTCTTCAGACGATCGGAAGCGCAAAGAGAAGGAGCCGGAGGAGGAGGAGGAACCTATCGAGCCGGCAGGCGAGGAGGAGTTCGCTGAGTCAGACGATGACCGTGACGACAACATGGAGATGGATCAGGAAATTGAGCAGTCGCCGCCCCGAGATTACTCAGAGGAAGAAGATAACCCTTCCTATCGGATGGCGAGGAGGGAGAGGAGATGTATCACATAGACATGCCGACAAAGTAGGATTCTTAGTGCTGTGCTGTGTATTGCAGAACCCGCCGGGCATTGTTGACAATGCAGGTGTAATGAAAAAAATGTAGCAACAAGACTCTGATCATAGTTTGCCAACCCTGTGACATCAGTGAAGGAGTCCCCTGGAGACTGAGCCATCAGAGTGGTCAAATTCTGGTCGAACCCCCCTCAGTGTTAAAAAAAAAAAAAAAAATTGAGCCATCAGAGTACCCAAATTTGAAATGTCAGCCCTGGCTGCAATAAGGGAATGTACCCCTTAGAGTACATGGCTAGTCTAGGTCGTTTCGCATTCCTTTGTATTTCTATATAAACCCTATGTTTGCATGATATCATCAATCTCAGTCATTTACATTCACTCTGACCTGAGTTCAATACTTCCGCTGCAGCACTATTTGCGATCAACCCTGAACGATCCTCTGCTAAAGTCCCACCTCAGATTGTAACATGGTATGAGAGCTACTCAGGGATTCTTCGCAACGTCACTTCCGTAAAATTCGCCGAACCTAAATCTGGCGAGCAGCACACGCTCCAAGACCGAGATGGCCGGAGGATCTGGAGGCCAAGCAAATCTAACGGCCGAAGGACAAACCAACCCGGCTGCGACAAATGAGGCGACAACCACGATCGGCACTGCCGCCCTCGAGCAGTTATTCGCTCGACTATCAACCATGGAGAAAGAACTCCAAGAACTGCGCAAAGGCGATGCGGGAACCACTTCCCAACCAGCTCAACCTGGACAACCGGCTGCAAAAAGCCGCGATACCGCCGCGCATGGCTTCTCCCTCGATTCAGACAAGTCTACAACAGCTGCCCCTCGTCCAAGCGACGAAACAATCAACTCTGCGCAAGCACGCATTCTCAGCGTTTCAAAAATTATGACTACTATCGCTTTGACGGCAAGGATTTCTACACATGGAGTTTTGAGCTTGAGCTCCTCCTACAGACAACGCAGATCTACCACTACTTCGATGGCTCCTATCCTAAACCGGCGGAAGACACAGAAGACGCCCAAGCTAAATACTACAGTGAGTCCCTCATGGCGTACAGCGTTCTGCTACGCAACATGTCACCCGCAGAACAGCTCGGCATTCGCTCCTACAAAGAGAGCGCCGCTCCAGCTCTGGAAGCCTGGAAGCACCTCGTTGAGGTATATCAGCCAAAAGACTCCGTCACCGCAAGCAGACTCCTGCAACAACTCATGGAGACCAAGATGGGGCACGGGGAGAAAGCAAACAGTTACATCAACCGTTGTCGGAACATCCGTGATCAAATAATGAAGATCAGAAGCTCTATTTCGGAGGAAATCTTCGTCAACATTATCCTCCAAGGACTCGGGCCTGAGTGGAAGCCCTGCAAAGCACTACTCCGACAACGAGGAACCATCTCCGAAGCCGCGCTATGCGCCGCACTGCTGACTGAACAGCAGGACATGGATTCGAGCAGAACAAGCTCCGCGCCGCGCCGAGAGCGCCTCGCCTTCTACGCAGACAACCGTGAAGAGCGACGACAACCCAGGCGCCACTATTGCAAAATATGTAAAGTCTTCGGACATTCAACGGATCGATGCAAATCCCGATCCAGTTATCGCCACCCGAATTCCACTCACCACAACAACTGGATCGGGCGACAAGACGCTCGTCATTCTCAGCCTCAACAACACACCTCTCGTCCCTCTGCACAGCAACAACCACAGCAGGCACAAGGACAAGGACCTCAAGGAGGAGCTCCCAGAAACGTGATCGCGAACATGGCGACAAGATGCCGCCGCACCGCTGAACCAGACAAAGAAGATGAGATTCAAGGAGGGCTACTTCAACCAGAGGAAGGATACAATAATCCCCTCACGGAAAATCACTACTATGGGTACGACGAAGACGAGCAAGATTGGCATCTGCCGATCACACTGCGGGAAAGCCCGCCACACGACAACCAGCACTACGTACCTGTGGGATGGAAGGAGGATGAAGACCCACTATTTCACAAGCGCTACAAAGCAACACTGGTAACTCCGCGACTCGCACTACTCCTACGCAACAACAACACCGACAACTACAACACCTGGTACCTGGACAGCTATTGTGGACAGCACATGGTGGGGTCCGTCCGATACGTTTCGAACCTAAGCCGCGCCCCCGCTACCTACGTCACCGTGGCCAACAATCACCAGCTTCGCGTCAACGCACAAGGCATCGTGGTCCTGCAAGCACGAGACAGCAACACGCACATCTCGTTCAACGACGTGCTCTACGTCCCGGACCTCCGCTTCAATCTTCTTTCGGCAGGACAACTTCGCGACTGTGGAGTCGTGCTCACTACGGACCTGGCCACATGGGATCTCATCCTCACCCACGCCCCTCCGGACACACCTCCCGAGTCGCACAAATACCTTGGGCGGGCTCGGTCGATCAACGGCATCTACGTTCTGGATTTCGACATACCAAGCTGTCAAGCTTCATCCGACGAGCTCGTGGATCTCGTCCCCCTCGATTTCCCTTTCATGAACCAAGAGTCGTGGGAACATCCTGACGGAAGACCGTGGATTCGCCGAAGCCCTCATCCCCGTGAAATCAACCTGCACGAACCCGACATCAACGGCCTCTGCACCACCTGCCACACGCCCACGGCAAGCCGCACGGAACAAGTTGAAAGGGACTATGCGGCAATCCAGGAGGCAGAAAGCGCCGAGGAAGAACCAACTGGCATGACTGAGGAGGAACTAGCTGTAACCACTCACCGTATCTTCGGGGAAGGAAACGAGAGATTCGGACAATTGCCCAACGCCGCGCACAGAAACACTCCGCTTCATTCTTGAAGCTAACACCGGCACCTTCTACGAAGAGAATCGCCTGCGTCCATACACTCGCGAAGTCTACCGCAGGGAAATTGACCCCGCCTGGAAAGATCCTGACACAGAAGGAGAGCTGAGCGTCAAGGAGGAAAGAGACAAGGCCAAGGCAGAAAAGAAACAGAAGCTGTACGAGGAGCGCGTAGAGGCAGGTTGGAGCGAAGAATCAGCACGGCGAGGCGCATGGGGAGACGAAGATTACGAGCCGGAAGAAGGCGCCACCTGGGGATCAGCCACTGGCGCTTGGGGAGCCAGCGGCATGGTCACCACAGGAGAATGGGGCACCGTGGAAACACCTGAAGAAGATCTGACACAAGAAGAACTACAGGAAGCAGAGCGGGAGATGCGAGCTGAGCGCGGAGAAGAAACTCCACGCGTCGTCATCCCGCTCGGCCGGCCCCCTCGCACTCGCTCGCCTCCCCGCTTACCTTACCGATGGGAAAGCACCTGGACGACGATTGAGGAGGGGAATGAACCACCAACCCTGGCGCGCGACTCACTTGGTCCAATCTCACGCCCAGATCCATTTGCCCGCCTCATCGAGGGCACGAAGACGCCGCTAAATATCATCCCCGATCGCGAATTCCTCGTCCTCTACCTCACGACGGCACCTGCAGAAGGAGAGACAGCAACAGAAGCAGAATTAGAGGAGGCACAGAACTAAACAACAGCAACCTAAACTGAGATGGCGTGGCCAGAATCTTCAAACATTTCCACGCGAGGGTGAATCAGGGTGTGAAGTGTTGGTTGGCAAGCACTCCACACATCTTGCGATCTATTCCCGTTTGTGTCTGAAAAAAAAGAGGACCAATGAAAACGCTCGTAAGCACCCAACCAGAATCGCCACGTAAACCATGGTTTGTGGTCCAACTGTACAGTGCTTGTCTGCAAACAGAGGTAAGTGGGGATCGAGAGGGGGGGGGGTGTAAACAACTAAGAAGGCTTTCGACAATCTGCAGGAATAAACCTAGCGCAACTGATGGTAAACAGCCGGGAAGCATGGTAGTGCGAATTTCACCTCATCAACCGTCGAAATTGACCGGCCTCCCAACTCGAAAAAGGACCCTTTCCTCCCCCTTCCCACTCTCGGCAGTTCTACATTTTTCTGATGGGCGTGGGGATCGCGGGCGGCGTGGGGAATCGCATCGGCGTGGGGAATTGCGGGCGACGAAGGGAAGCGAGCGAGACGAGGGGGATAGGGGAGTTACGGGCGAAGCGGGGAATTACGGGCGACTGAAAAATATAAATGTATACATGAAAAAAAAAATCCCAATTGATGTGAAAAATAACGCTTGGGAATTACGGTCGACGAGGCGAAATAGGGCGACGGCCAGGGGAGACGAGGGTGACGTGGAAGGCAAAGTATGGACCTAGCGTGGCCGACAGCAGGAGACGCGAGGGTGATGGAGAGGGACGACGGGCAACGAAAGCGACGACAAGAGAGGAAGCGAGGGCGGCAGGTAAGGAGGGACGAATTATCAGTGATGGTAGGGATCGAACGACGGGAGGGAATGTAAGCGGGATCGTGACTCGCGACTCGGGAATGCCATTTACGAGCATTGCGCGTGTCGTGCACTAGAACAGACG